CGTAAAATTGAGTAAATGACATCTTTTTCTCCGAGAGTATAGCAGACTCTAGTAATCGATTAAAATATTGTTTAACATATATACATAGTTTAGGACTCACGGTAATGAATATTTGTCTTTTGTTAAAAACGTTTGCATCTATAACATTTGTATGTAAGGATGGAGTCTTGTAAAGTTTGTTACTGGATTGACTGGATTTCATAAGGTATGAAGCAATCTGTCGAAACACGATACATGTTGTCTTTCCAGTTCCTATATAACAAGTATGCAAAACAAAGAAAAACAATATCATATTTTTTAGTCACAATATGACCGAAAATTATTCAGTAAAAATATAATGATAATAATAAATAAAATAAATAAATTTAAGCGAAGGACCAAAATACTGTATTATCGCTATCAGCATGAAAGTAGCTATTTAGTACAATTAACCACCTTTTAAATACAGAGGACCCTCGTTAATATCAACTTCGTTAATATCAACCTAAGCCACAAGCCAAATTTTATATATTTTTATATATTAAAATTGCTTTATACATATCAACTCTAAATATAATCCCTAATTGATATCACTATCAACATGGATTTAAAATCAATCAAATGGGTTGATATTAATGAGGGTCATCTGTATGATTAAAATATGATAGCTAATAGCTGAAAACTAGCTTATAACAGCATTGAGGTTATTTACTTCACAGATTTAAACTAAATGCAGGTATACACTAAAATACTAACCAGATCTTCCAAAGACGATAGCAGACATAGGATGTTTGATGATTTTGTATTCATCTTCAGATACTTGGAAAATGAAACCCGAACCGCCAAGAACGATTGATTTGAATAAATTCTAAACAAAAAATTATGGCATTTAATAATCTTTATGCATGATAATATATAACAAAAGTATGAATATTCTTTACCTTCGACAAGGGAATAAACTTGTTCGTAACAAGTAATTGGTGTACTTTGATTAGTTTCTCATCATCATCCTGATTGTCATATAATCTTTCGTTAGTGGAATTTAACTTCAAGTCTCTTGGCAAAATAACACCGTCTTTATTTTTGTCTGTCTTGCATCGTTGTATTTGCTCAATAGTATAGACTTGATGAACGATTGCAAGATTTTCTAACATCTCGCGAATCTGTTCTTGATTTGTGGTGACTGTCCATATTTTCACA